AAGTGTGAAGTCGCTCAGTCGTGTCCTACTCTGCGACCCCATGGACTAGCCTATTAGGCTCCTCCTTTCATGTAGTGCTAGTCAAGTGCCCCTGGTCTCAATCAGACGTCCCTGTCCCCGCCCCTGAAGATTCCCTTTCAGGTCGGCTTGGAGCCTGCGGTGTTTAACACTCCTAGTGATTCGGGTCATCAAGCGGTTAGAAAGCACTAACTTTCTAAGCAGGGTTTTGCAACTGGTCATTCATTCATTCAAGGACTCCTAAGCACCTAGTACAAAGAAAAGTGGACACATTGAGCACCTACTGTGTGCTCCGGTAGTGTCAATTACCCTTGTAGCCCCAGATATGGCATACAAGATTTCACACCCCTCCCGGACTTGGTATTCCAGTTTAGAAAGCTAGCAATAAGCAAGGAGCAGTGAATCTTATGAAGGCAGTAATAGTGATGACATGGAGACTAAAGGGGGAGGATGTGGGAGCTGCCATAGACAAAGTGTGTGTGTGACCAGACACTGTCTGCAGAAACAGAGGATATAGCAGATGCAAAGGCCCTGAGGCTGAGAGCAGTGGGGGCTGGAATTTGCCTTCAATGAATGAGAGTAGGAGAGAGTTCACTTTCACTGTATAATTGTAAGGGATTTGATTTAGGTCATATCTGAGTGGCCTAGTGCTTTTCCCTACTTTCTTCAATTTAAGTCTGAATTTTGCAATAAGGAGTTCATGATCTGAGCCACAGTCAAATCCTGGTCTTGTTTTTCCTGACTGTGCAGAGCTTCTCCTGGCTTCCCAGGTGGCTCCTGTGGGTAAAGAATCCATGTGCGTGCAATGCAGGAGAAGCAGGCAGACATGAGATGAATCCCCTGGAGGAGGGCATGGCAACCCACTCCTGTATTCTTGCCTGGAGAATCCCACGGACAGAGGAGCCTGGTGGGCTACAATTCATAGGGTTGCAAAGAGTCAGACATGACTGAAGTGAGTGAATAAGCATAGTACTTCTCTATCTTTGGCTGCAAAGAATATAGTCAATCTGATTTCAGTATTGACCATCTGGTGATGTCCATGCATAGAGTCATCTCTTGTGTTGTTGGAAGAAGGTATTTCTTCTTGACCAGTGTGTTCTCTTGGCAAAATTATGCTAGCCTTGGCCTTGCTTCATTTTCTATTCCAAGGCCAAACTTGTTGGTTACTCCAGGTTTCTCTTGACTTTCTACTTTTGCATTCCATTCCCCTATGATGAAAAGAGGATCTTTTTTTTAGTGTTAGCTTCCCTCATGGCTTAGAGGGTAAAGCGTCTGCCTGCAATACAGGAGACCCAGGTTCAGTCCCTAAAGTCGGGAAGATTCCCCTGGAGAAGGAAATGGCAACCCACTCTACTACTCTTGCCTGGAAAATCCCATGGACAGAGGAGACTGGGAGGCTGCATTCCATGGGATCCCAAAGAGTCGGACATAACTGAGCGACTTCACTTTTCTAGAAGATCTTGTAGGTCCTCATAGAACCATTCAACTGCAGCTTCTTCAGCATTAGTAGTTGGGGCATAGACTTGGATTACTGTGATATTAAACGGTTTGCTTTGAAAATAAACCGAAAAAAAAAAAAGAAAAGAAACCAAGATCATTCTGTTGTTTTTGAGACTGCACCCAAAAACTGCATTTCGAACTCTTTTGTTGACTATGAGGCCTACTCCATTTCTTCTAAGGGATCCTTGCCCATAGTAATAGATATAATAATCATCAACTATTTGTCACAGTGGAATTGACAAATAGATTCAAGGGATTAGATCTGATAGAGTGACTGCAGAACCATAGACAGAGGTTCATAACATTGCACAGGAGGTAGTGATCAAAACAATCCCTAAGAAAAAGAAATGCAAAAAGGCAAATTGGCTGTCTGAGGAGGCCTGACAAATGGCTGAGAAAAGAAGAGAAGTGAAAGGCAAAGGAGAAAAGAAAAGATATAACCATCTGAATGCAGAGTTCCAAAGAATAGCAAGGAGAGATAAGAAAGCCTTCCTAAGTGAACAATGCAAAGAAATAGAGGGAAACAGTAGAATGGGAAAGACGAGAATACTGGAATGGGTTGCCATTTCCTTCTCCAAGGACAAGAAAATTAGAGATACCAAGGGAATATCTCATGCAAAGATAGGCACAATAAAGGACAGAAATGGTATGGACCTAACAGAAACAGAAGAGATTAAGAAGAGGTGGCAAGAATACACAGAAGAACTAAACAAAAAAGATCTTAACGACCCAGATCACCATGATGGTATGATCATTCACTTAAGAGTCAGACATCCTGGAGTGATAAGTCAAGTGGGCCTTAGGAAGCATCACTACGAACAAAGCTAGTGGAGGTGATGGAATTCCAGCTGAGCTATTTCAAATCCTAAAAGATGATGCTGTTAAAATGCTGCACTCAATATGCCAACAAATTTGGAAAACTCAGCAGTGGCCACAGGACTGGAAAAGGTCATTTTTCATTTCAATCCCAGAGAAGGGCAATGCCAAAGAATGTTCAAACTACCACATAATTGCACTCATTTCACACACTAGCAAGGTCATGTTCAAAACCCTCCAAGCTAGGCTTCAACAGTATATTGAACAGAGAACTTGGCAGAGAAAAGGCAGAGGAACCAGAGATTAAATTGCCAACATCTGTTGAATCATAGAAAAAGCAAGAGAACTCAAGAAAAACATCTACTTCTGCTTCATTGACTATGTTAAAGCCTTTGACTGTGTGGATCACAACAAACTGTGGAAAATTCTTCAAGAGATGGGAATACCAGACCACTTTACCTGCCTCTTGAGAAATCTGTATGCAGGTCAGGAAGCAACAATTAGAACTGGACATGGAACAACAGATTGGTTCCAAATTGGGAAAGGAGTACATCAAGGCTGCGTATTTATTTAACTGCTTATTTAACTTATATGCAGAGCTCATCATGAGAAATGCTGGACTGGATAAAGCATAAGCTGGAATCAAGATTGTCGGGACAATTATCAATAACCTAATATGAAGATGACACCACCCTTATGACAGAAAGCAAAGAGGAACTAACGAGCCTCATGATGAAGGTGAAAGAGGAGAGTGGAAAAGCTGGCCTAAAACTCAACATTCAAAAAAACAAAAGATCATGGCATCTGGTCACATCACTTCATGGCAAATAGATGTGGAAACAATGGAAACAGTGACAGACTTTATTTTCTTAGGATCCAAAATCACTGTGAACGGTGACAGTAGTCATGAAATGAAGACACTTGTTTCTCAGAAGGAAAGCTATGACAAACCTAGACAGTATATTAAAAAGCAGAGACATCCATATAGTCAAAGCTATAGTTTTTCCAGTAGTCATGTATGAATGTGAAAGCTGGACCCTAAAGAAGGCTGAGCGCCAAAGAATTGATGTTTTCAAACTGTGGTGTTGGAGAAGACTCTTGAGAGTCCCTTGGACTGCAAGATCAAACCAGTCGATCTTAAAGGAAATCAGTCCTGAGTATTCTTTGGAAGGACTGATGCTGAATCTGAAACTCCAATATTTTGGCCAGCTGATGTGAAGAACTGACTCATTGGAAAAGACCCTGATGCTGGGAAAGATTGAGGGCAGGAGAAGGGGACGACAGAGGACGAGACGGTTGGATGGCATCACGTACTCAATGGACATGAGTTTGAGCAAGATTCAGGAGATGGTGAAGGACAGGGAAGTCTGGCGTGCTGCAGTCCATGGGGTCACAGAGAGTTGGACACAACTGAGGGACTAAACAACAGGAGAGGGTTGACTCTTCCAAGACACTGGAAGACCTGTTGCAGGGAAGGATGCGATATGTTTTAAATGGCTCCCTCTGGCTGCCATGTGGAAAATTCATCATAGTTGGGCAGAGGGGACCTGAGACCAGCCAGGAAGCCACTACCACGGCCCAAGCAGGAGCCGGTGGTGGCATCCTGGCAGTGGAGGTGGGGGTGGACCAGTAGTGGAAGTGGGGAGCACAAGGGGCAGATCCTGGAAGCGAACTAATAGACCTGGCAGATGGCTTAGATGTGGGCAGAGAAGGAGTAGGGGAGACCTCCTAGTTGGGGAACACTAGGGCCACGCTGTGGAGAAAGTGAATAGTTTTGGAAACATTAACCCCCACGTATCTTTGTTGTTTTGTCTTATGTATGTATATTATGGAATGTATGTGTTTATTTTTTTGGCTGCACTGTAAGTCTTACAGGATCTTAGTTCCTTGACCAGGGATTAAACCTGGGGCCCAGCAGTGAAAGTGCAGAATGTTAACCACTGAACCACTAGGAAATTCCCGAATTTATGTGTTTCTATTAGCGAAAGTTGATTCAGGGCAAAAACCTGAGTAAAAGAAAAACGATCAACTCCTATAGGCTCACTGTGCCCTGTATCACCACTAACACGTTTGTGAGCATCTACCCAGACTAGTTTTCACATGCGTGCGTGCGTGTGTTGAGTGTGCAAGCACGCACAGGCAGGATGTTCCCAGACCTGCCACCCCCCCACCCCAATTTGGAGATTCACCAAAAGAACTCACTAGACTCAGTATACAGCTGTGGTCAGTTATGATTTATTACACCGCAATGTAGCCGGCGGGGAGCTGACCCTGCCCGCTCCACAGGAGCCGGCTGGAGCCCTGGGGGCCCTCCCTGGCTGGGGCAGGGGAGGGGCCTGCACCATACCAGCAGGGAACGAAGAGCAGAGGAAGGTTCCACGGGTGCCTTCGCCCTTGGCCCTGCTGCTCTACAAGGACTAATGTAGTCCACAGAGCATGTTTAAACGGGACCAGCGTGGGAGATAAAACCATTATCCATTATGTAATAAATAGTTAAAAAAGTCACTCTGGGTTGGACTGCCAGGATGGCAGCAACTTGTGCCCAGGATTGAGCCAAGAGGGTGTCCTGGGGCTCCACCCGTCTCCTGAGTGCAGTCTGGAGTCAGGGTGGCCACAGCGGACCCTGATTGCTGCCAGGCCCCCTCGGCCTGCAGGCAGGCGCCGCGTCAGTGGTTAGGGGTGGGCGGCCAGGCTTTCTCAACATCAGCGTGCACGGCCTGTGGGAGCCACTCAAGGTACTCGGCCAGCAGGTCTGCAGAGAAGGGAGGGAGGGCGGTCAGAGTAGCTCTGTGCCCGCCTGCCAGCTGCAGGGCAGACCCTCCCACCAGCCCCAGGTCCCCTGGGTGGCCCCATACCATCTTCCCCCCAACCCCCTTGCTGTGGGGCACCTTCCCTGGTCAGGCTCACATTTGGGGTTTTTGCTCCAAGCCACCAGCAAGGCATCTCGGCAGTTGGCTTTCTTGGCAACAAGGGCTCTCAGGAGGCTCTCTGTCCTGGGCTGCAGCCTGTGGGTGGGATGCAGGACATGGGGCATCTTGAAATCCACTGCCAGGCCAGCCCTGCCCAGGAGGTCTCCTTCTGTCCATCATGCTGGGGGTGCCAGGTGGATGAAAGGATCTAGACTCCATCACCTCCCACCACTTGCCTCTGATCCACCCACCCAGGCTGCTTCTGTACTTGCTGCTTGTCCCATTTAGAACTTTCCTCCAGACCTCTGCCTGCCTCACAGCCCTGCCTCCCCTGAACCTGCTCAGTCAGGCTTTCCTTTTCTTTCCCTGCCCGACGCCTCACTCCCACGTCCTGCTCTGTCCCTTTGTGGCTGGGCCACCACCTTCCCTTTGTACTAGTTGTTCGACCTCCCTGCACTGGAATATCGCACAGGACATGGTCGTGGCTCGATCCCAGCACGAGAACACCGCCAGCACAGAGTGGACGCGCACAACCAAGTGCTGGGTGAATGACCTGGTAGGCAGGGGCTCCTGGAACCACAGCCCCATCCTGAGTCCCCAGGGGATGCAGGTGTGTGCACACACCTGTCTGCCTGCTGCTGGTGCCTCAAGCCCCTTGCCTGGTCTGGGGTGCCAGTCTCAGGAAGAGGGAGGAAGCTTCTTGAGACTGGTCCATGGGCAGAAAGAAGAAAAAGACAGGAGTGTGCGTGCTTAGTCACTCAGTCGTGTCTGACTGTGACCCCATGGACTGCAGCCTGCCAGGCTCCTCTGTTCATGGGGATTCTCCAGGCAAGAATGCTGGAGTGGGTTGCCATTCCCTTCTCCAAGCGATCTTCCCAACCTAGGGATCGAACCCAGGTTTCCCACTTTGCAGGCAGATTCTTTGTCATCTGAGCCACCAGGGAACCCTAAAGAGAGGAGCGGGCATAAGCAGAGACCAGGAGGAAGGACAGGAGGAGGAAGATGATCGGTGGGATCGGAGTGGCTTCATGCTCAGTGGGCCCGGGGCACAGGTGTACAGGGTGCCTCGGGCTCGCACCTGGCAGCTTTACAATAGGCTGACTTGTTGTTTAGTCACTAAGTCGTGTCTGACTCTCTGCAACCCCATGAACTACAGCCCACTGGGTTCCTCTACTCATGGGATTCTCCAGGCAAGAATACTGAAGAAGGCTGCCATTTCCCTCTCCAGGAGATCTTCCCGATCCAGGGATTGAACTCACATCTCCCGCATTGCGGGCGGATTCTTTACCACTGAGCCATCTGGGAAGCCAACAGGTTGGCTAGTATCTCCCCAAAAGTCCCTGTCTGCCTAGAACCTCACGATGTAACCTTATTTGGAAAGAAGGTCTTTGCAGATGTAATTAAGACAAGGTCAAATGGGAGAGAGTGGACCCTGGATTCAATAACCTGAGAAGACAGAGAAACAAGGGGAAGCCATGGGCAAAGAGAGGGAGAGACTAGAGGGATGTGGTGGCCAAGGAGTGCCTGGAACCACGAGGGGTGGGAAGAGGCCAGGAGGATCCCCCCCCCCGAGCCTTCAGAGGGAGCGCAGCCCTGCTGACACCCCGACTTTGAACTTCTAACCTCCAGAACTACGAAAGAATACACGTCTGCCCCTCGGTGGGTAGGGATCTGTTATGGCAGCCCCAAGACACAGCTCCTCCACCACCACCTGCCTGCTCTGATGCTCCCAGGGAAGCCCATACCTGGCCCACGTCTTCAGCATCGTGCTGGGGCTGGACAGCAAACAGCCCTTGTATGACGCCAGCTTGGGGAAGACCTGGGGAGAGATCACAGGATGGTGGGGAATCCGGGGCTCACGTCCCACCCATGGTGCCAAGGAAGGGGCCGAGGGAGTTGCCGGGCTGCCTACCTGCCCCTCCAGCAGAACCCGGGCAAAGTGTTTGTAGCAGTCAAGGCCTTCTGGAAAATCCACCTGGACAGCCGGGAGCGGCCAGCCAACGCGATCTGGAGCACAGGAGCTGGTGAGCGAGGGGCCGTGATGGATCCCCATGGCTCCCCGTGCAGTCCCATCCCTGCCCACCTGCAGGGTCCTGCAGCCTGGGATGACACTGACCAGGACGCAGACACTGCCCAGGGCACACAGGATGGGGAACCACATGTCCACTGGAGCCCAAGGCCACTGGGAAGTCACCCTGACTCACAGAACACGCTGGCCCGGTGACACAGCATCCGCCCCTTCTCGGGGCAGTAGGTTGGGGGCGGCTCCTCCAGGGGCTTGTCAAACTGGCAGTAAGAAGGCAGCAGGACCGGAATCCACTGCATGTCCACGGTCGAGACGCCTGGGGGCCCGGGAGAGAGCGGATGGGGTCTCAGTGAGGGGCTCGTGGGCTCTCCCCACACAGGTCCGGTGACACAGCTCACCAGAGCAAGGGGGTCAGGTGAGGGTGCAGCCAGCTGCACTACCTTTCATGTACATCTTGGTGGTCTCCACAATTTCCTGGTAGACCACAAAGTCAGGGAGCTCCTTGAAGAGCACAGAACTGGGGTGGATGAAGACAGGGTCGTCGAGGAGGGGCGTCTGCAAGAGATGGTAGGTGGGCATGAGTCTGGGAGATACATGAGCTGCACGTGAGGCTGACCCCTGTGAATTCAGTTACACCCTTGGCCAGAAAAGCAGGACAGCATCCATCAAACGACAAATGGCTACACCAGCAGGGTGTGTCCACCGATGGAGCGGGTAGCCTGCTGGGAGAGGTACAGACACAGGCTACAGTTACGACCCGCCCAAAATGGGACACTGAGCTAAAAAAGCCAGTGCAAAAGGCCACACAGTGCAGGATCCCATTCACGGGAAATGCATTAGAACAGCAAATCCATGTAGACAGAAAGCAGACTCAAGGGGTATGGAGATTCAGAGAAATGGAGTGATACGGTGATGGGTACAGGGTGTCTTTTTTGGGGTGATAAAATGTTTTGAAATTAATATGGTAATGGTTACACAACTCTGTGAATAGACCAGAAACCTCTGAATTGTACATTTTACAGTGGCAAGTATGGGATGTGCTTTCTGTCTCTGTTCAGTGAAGTTGGGGGGAAGCTCATGCTCAAAGTGAGAAGCAGCTGCATTGTCATTTCACCTTGGTCCTGGGTGGGAACTTTCCCAGGGGCAGGGGGACCCATGACCGAGGACGACTGGCCCACCCAGAGCCAAGGGTCTCTCCAGCTGCTGCCCACAGGCATCCTGACACTGTCCAGAGCCAGGTGTCTTAAGCGCTCAGGCTGCTAGAACACAAGACAGATGGGAGGATGGGGAGGGCAGGGGCCCTGGGCATGACTGCCCCGCTGGCCAACCCCGAGCCAGCGGCAAACCTTGTAGGCGTTCTTCCACTTGTCATCCACCAGGTCCTCGCTCTGGACTTTGCGGGCCAGGTGGTCACCCAGGCCGGCTGTCACAATCTGCCGCAGGTAGGTCACCTGGTTCTCGTTAGGTGGCTGCATCTTAGGGTCCACGAAGAGCCCAGCCTCAGGGCACATGGTGTTGACTGAGAGGGGAGCCAGGTGTCAGGATGGCCAGGCCCGGGGCTGGCTCTGCCTGGCCTCAGCCACTTGTATAACTAGGCCCCTGTGCACAGAGGCTGCCGGGAGACAAAGCCCCCAGTGCGGCGGAAACAGCTGCCCACCCACACCCATGTCTGCCCCTTCCTTGGGACAAAACCCCAGGCTCCTTGTGGGCAGCAGACTATGCTGAGACAGCCCACACATGACTCCCTGTCGGCCTTGGGGCAGGGAGCATGCCCACCCAGGAGACCCAGTGCATGGGCCACGCTCTCTGAGCAGGAGAGCGTGGAGACAGACCATCTCTCCTGAGCGCCCTGTGCTGCGGAGCCCTGGCGTGAGACCCAGGGCGAGGCCTCCTCCTTCCACTCAAGAAGGATCTGAAGCCCACTGTGCAGCAGGGAGAAAGGAGATGGGGCTTTGGGCCTTGCTGTTTGAGTGGGAGGGAGCAGAAGGGTGAAAACAAGAAGGACCGGGAAGGCAGGAGGGGAGAGTGGGCTTGTGGATCTTAGTTCCCTGACCAGGGATGAAACCTGTGCCCCTTGCAGTGGAAGCCCCAAGTCCTAACTGCTGGACTGCCAGGGAATTCCAGGGCTTTCTGTTATGAGGTTTGCAATGTAAATCTGTCTTCTCTAGAAAACCTTTAGTGAAACCCATGTTGTTTAACTTAAAAGTGAAAGAAGAAGGAAAAAAATGGGAAGGAAGCAGATCCCTGGGCTGGACAAAGATCTGCCACCCACACCAGGCCCTGATGTGGCTTCAAACAGGTCTGGTCCTCACTGCTCAGACTAAACAGGAGTGGAAAGTGGGGGCTGAACTGCCACCTGCTCCCCAACTTCAACAAGAGAGGCCCTCTCCACTGCTGGAGAAACAAACCAGGGTTGGACCCTGCTTGAGAGAAGAGACCCCTGGATGTGGCCGCTGGGCCGGAGGTGCAGCCAGCAGCTGGTCCACGCTAGACCTGGGACAGAGGGCAATGAGAGGGACGTCACCAAGGAAAAGATGAGATGGACAGACAACCTGATGAGAGAGCATCCATGTGTCACTGCCCTGCTCATGTGCGTGTCCTCAAAGGACCACAGAAGTGCCACACACTACAGTAAATTTTACTGAATGTGTGAATTTGCAAATACAGAATCTGTGCACGAGAAATGACTATATGTAGATGACATTGCTCAGAATGTCAACAGGGTCAAGTTCTCTGCTGAGTGTTGCCCAAGGATAGGAGAAGGCCGGAGGGTGGTGAGGGGCCATACCTGCAGTGGTCAGCTGGCCCCGCAGTCGCCGGATCTCCAACATGGCCTTGTACCTCAGTCCATTGGCCTCGCAGAACTGGGGTGAGCAGCCTGCATACTCGCAGGCTCCCACGGCACCTGTGCAAAGAGGAGGGGAGTGCTTGTTCGCTGCCCCATCCTGCCCTCCCACCCTCCCCACCACCCACAGGCCATGCCCATGCTGGGCACTCACCCAGGAGCACCATGAGGTCTCCGAGCTTCAGAGAAGCTCCTTGCCCTGCCCAGATCCTCTTCATCTGGGCCACGCGGGCCCGCTTGCCCTTCAGTGTGGCGAGCTCCTCGTCACTGGCGGCTGGCCTACAAACACACACCACTTGGGCTTTTTGCCCTGATGCTTGCGGTCACAGGGGCAGGGCACCTGCCAGTTTCTCAGAGCGGGCCCAGAAAATGCCTGGTGGGGTCACTGATCATCGTGATCATGGTCTTGGGAATTCCCTGGAGGACGAGTGGTTATGATTCTGGGCTTCCACTGCAGGGGGCAGGGGTTTGTCTGGTCCCTGGTCAGGCAAGTAAGATCCTACAAGCCTTGTGGCAAGGCAAAATTCAAAAACCAACCACCTCCCCCAGCTCCCCCCCACCCCCCCCGCAACCCCTCCGAGATCTGCAGAGATTGGAACACTGGCACAGCGCAGAGGATATAGATTTCATACAAGACCATTCGCTGAGTCAGTTATGCCCCAGGAGGCTGGGTTTCACAGCATTGCTCAGCCCAGGATGGTCTCCCCCCACCCACCCACCCTGATCCCTGAATGCCCGTCCCACAGCCCCCCACCTGTCCAGCTCCTCGAACAGCTCCCGGACAGTCATGGCAGCCACGATGGTGATGGCGTAGGGCAGGCAGCCGTGTTGCCGGCTCAGCGCCAGCATCTTGGCATAGCGTGGTGCCACTGGGAACGTGGCCATGGTCCTGCCCAGCTCGGTGATGGGGCAGCTCAGCCGGGACTTCTGCAGCTGTTTCACCCTGGAGGATGGAGGGTCAGCTCGGAGGGGGGTCAGAGCCGAGAACGGGGCGGGAGTTGGGCTCTCTGCTTCCCTCAAGTCCTTCCCCTACCTTTCTGTTTTTGGGGGAGCCTGCAGGGCACCCAGTGCGATCAGCAGCTCCTCGGCAGCGATGAGGGCCTCCATGGAGGGGGGTGTCGGAAAGGGGAAGTTGATGACCTAGGACACAGGGAGCCATGGCGGGAGACAGGTAAGTGCAGAGGAGGGCTGGAGGAGGGGGCGAGGGCAGGTCTGGCAAGGGGATGGGGCTCCCACTGCCTACCCTCCAAGCACCACTCACGCTCAGAACATGGGATATGGGGGCCTGGGCACACTCAAAGTCCATGTGCCAGGGGAACCCTAAAGGCCCTCTTTGTTCATTCATTCACATCATCTCTTACTCAGGAGCATGTACTGAGCACTTCGTGTGCACCAGGGGCTGTTCCTCGTGACAGAGGTGGATAAAAACAAGACAAGGGCTGAACTGGGTTATCGAGATTGACATGCAAACACTACTGATACTATGCATAAAACAGATAATTAACAAAAACCTACTGTGTAGGTTGGATACATGAAAAAAAAAAAAAACTTACTGTGTAGCAGAGGGAACTACTCAGTGCCCTGTGGTGACCTAAATGGGGAGGAAATCCAAGCAAGAGGGGCATACACATACATATAGCTGATTCACTTTGCCGTACAGCAGAAATAAACACAGCACTGGAAAGCAACTATACACCAATAAAAACAAAATGAAAAAAAAAATAAAAACAAGACAAGGGCTCTGGCCCCACTGAACTTTCATTGCAGATGACCAGTGAGTATGCACGTGAATAAACAGTCTCACGGGAGAAAATGTGCCCAGACAATGAGATAATCAGAAAACAGAGTGACCAGGCTCAGGGATCGCCTGAGGGTTGCTTAGAAAGAGCAACCAACTAAAAACCAGTGTTTAAATAAATAGTTGTACACAAATGTTCATGGCAGCATTAGTTGTAGCAGCCAAAAGGTGGGAACAACCCAAAATGTCCATCAACAGATGGACAAACTATGGTCCATCCATCCATACAATGGAGTACGAGTCAGCCATAAAAAGGAAGGAAACTCTTGACAGTGTGGATGAACCTTTAAAACACAACCACCGATAAGTTCAGCCGTGGATTATCAAAACAACAGAAATATAAAACAGCTATCAATTTATAGTATTTTCCTAAATAAACTGATTCAAACTGTCAGCTAGGTTCTTTGACAGTGAAAAAAATTACCAAACATACTAATGTAATGAAAAGCCTGATCCTCTCTTCCGTGATATTATCTTAGTGTGAACTGAATTGATTGATAAATGAATTTTAAATTGGCTAAAACAAACAAACAAAAATCCACAATGCTGACTGAAAGAAGTCAGATAAGAAAGAATAAGTATCAAAGGATTCTATTTTTATGAAAAGTCCAAAATATAAATTCCACAGAGATTAAAAAGTAGACTCATGGTTGCCAGTGGCTCGAGAGAGGAAGGCCTGAGAGTGACAGCTGATAGGGAGGGGGTTTCTCTGCCTACACCACCCCACCGGGAGCAGGGGAGAGGCGAGTGACCCTTCCCCTAGAGGACCTAGTGGGCAGAATATCCCTTGAGCCCCAAAGTCACTGACCACCCTCTCCTCAGAAGGTACAGTACTGGGAAGGTGGGGGGGTCTCACAAGAGACCACCAGGGGGCCGGGTGAGCACCACGTGGCTTAGCTCCTAGGGCCACAGGGAATCGGGAACAGCCCAAGAAAGGGGAATAACCCATGAGGGGGCTCAGGCTGCCCAAGAACACCAGACTGAACTCAGGGACACCGGCAAGTCAGTGGAGCGAGGGCAGGGCTGTGGCTACAACTGACCTTTTCGACGTTGAGAGCTTTCATCTGAAGGATCAAATCCTCCACCGGCCTCCGGGTGATTTCAGGAGGGGGGTACTTCTCAAAGTCACCGAAAACTGCAGATGAGTAGAGTCTGAGCAGAGGGAAGCACCGGAGATTTAAAAAAAAAAAAAAAGGAAGTAAGAAAAGAGACTCAGCCAAACTATCTGGGATTGAATCTTGACTCCACCACCTTACTAGGCAAGGTATTTACCCACTTCCTGCCTCACTTTCCTTACCTGTGAGATGGGCTAACATGGCAGCTACCCCGTCAAGACTGGGAAAGATACTTTATTTATTTATCTAAAATATTATTTATTTATTTGGCTGAGGCATGCAACATGTGGGATTGTAGTTCCCTGACTAGGGATTGAACCTGCGGCCCCTGCACTGGGAGTGTGGTGTCTCACCACTGAACACCAGGGAAGTTCCTGGTGAGAATACTTTAGGTGTCACACACAGAGTGCTTAGAACTGTGCCTGGCACATGGCACTCAACTACTTTATTTCTTACTACTTTTCTTTGCATAGTTTCTCAATTTTCTTTTTGTAATTTAAAGCAAAGTTGAGAAGAATGGCGTAAAGTTAGTTATTGAAGGAGAAAAAAAAAAAGCCAGCACATAAACTGGGAGAATGATACCTCTGGAGAATGCCAATGATACCTCTGACAAGGATCTAACATCAGGATCATCAGGGGAATATTTACAACTCACCAATCAAAAGACAGACATGACTGAAAAATAAACGACAGATCTGAACAGATATCCCTCAAGAAGACATATGCAAATGACCTATAAGCATGTGAAAAGATGCTCAAAGTCATTAGAGAAATGCAGACCAAGACCACTGCGAGATACCACCTTGTACTTTCATTTTCATGAAGTGGAAAACAGCAAGCGTTGGTGAGACATGGAGAAATTAGAACCTTCACACACTGCTGGTGGGAATATAAAATGGGGTGCCTGCTGTGGAAACAGTCTGGTGTGTTCCTCAAAATGTCAGAATCACCACATAACTGTGAGATTCTACTCCCTAGGTATTTACCCAAGAGATGTGGAAACGGACATTCAAATACTTGTACATGAGTGTTCACAGCAGCACTATTCACAAGGGCCAAAATGTGGATGCAATCCAAGTGTCTATCAGCTGATGAACAGGCATGGGAAATGTGGTCCATCCCACGTGCAACAGAATGTGGTTCTGCCATTAAAAGTAATGAAGCACTGACCGGCTATCATGTGGATGAACCCTGAAAACATGACGTGGGGTGAAAGAAGTCACATACAAAAGGTGACATACCGTCTGATTTCTTTTATAGAAAATGTCCAGAATGATCAGATCCATACAGACAGGAAACAGATAGTGGCTGCCAGATCCTGGGGGGTGGGGATGGTATGGAGGTGTGGGGAGAAACTAATTACTGGGTATTGGGTTTCTTTTGCAGTGATGAGAATATTTGAAAATGAACAGAAGTGGGCCAGGGCCTAAGATTCCACACTCCCAAAGCAGGGGGGCCCAGGTTCATTCCCTGGTCAGGGAACTAGATCCGACACGCCACAACTAAGATCCGGAGCAGCAAAATAAATAAATAAAAATAATTTTTTTTAAAAAAGAAAATTAATAGTGGTGATGGTTGTACAGCTCTGAATATATTAAAATCCACAGAATTGCACATTTCAAAAGGTGAGCTTTATGCTATGGGAATCTTATGTCAATAAAGCTATTAATAAGACAAAAACAAAGGTGCTAATAAACACAGGGTCTGATATCAGCAGCAGAATAATGAATAATGCAAGTGCCTGAAAGCCACAGGAAAGGGTGTATGGACCCCAAGGACACAGTCTCCAGTGGGACATGGGGTCCCCTTTCCCCAGACGAGGGTGGGTAACCACTGCACAGTAGCTCTGAGGACACTGGGGGGACCCCAGGGAGCCCCACCTGTAGCAGTGGCCGGGTTCCGTCCGGCCCGCGCGGCCCGCCCGCTGATCGGCTGAGGCCTGGGAAACCCAGGTGATGCGGAAGGAGGATACGCCGGTGACACGGTCGTAGTGCCGCTTCTTGACCTTCCCACAGTCCACCACGTACTTGATGCCTGGGATGGTCAGGGACGTCTCGGCCACATTGGTGGCCACGACACAGAGCCGTGTCCCCTCTGGGGGAGGTTGGAAGACCTAGGATGGGGTGGGGGGTGGCAGCAAGAAAATTGACCACTGTCTCGCCAGAGTCAGGGAAGAAATCATGGGGCTGAGGTCAGAGGAAGTCAGCAGGCAGGGCAGGGCCTGGAGATGACCAGGTCAGCGGGTTCTTTCCTTGCCTCTAGCCACTGCTCCCAAACTGAACGTGGGAATGCTCTCCAAGTAGGAGACCCCAAGGTCTTCTCAAAAGCCTGGAGTGCTGATCTAACAGCTGATGGGGAGGTGACCCAGAGCCTGACCCACCCCCATCTCAACGTCCTGGGAACCCCTGCTGGGCATCCATCCCAGGCCCCACACGGTTACCTGCGCCTGCTTCTCCGGGGCCAGCAGTGAGTACAGAGGGAGCACGTGGAGGGGGAGCGAGGCATCGGGCTGCTCACCTGCAGGGGCGGCAGAGGTCGGCTGTGCCCTGTGCCCTCAGCTGCTGGCACCCCTGCCTGCTCTGCCAGAGAGGCTCCCCTGCAGCTCCAGAACCAGGGCTCAAGCCCGGGCACCAGCAGAGAGGGCGGGCACACTGCAGTCTCTCCCCGGGAGAGCCCCCAGTCCTGCATAGGGACCCCCAAGGGCTTGCTCTCAGCTCCTCTAATCCCCCACTGCCTGCAAAGCCGAGTCTGGGAGCGTCACCCCGTGACAATCAGCACAAGAGATATCTGAAGGTCTCCTCTGTGCTCGGTGGTTGCAGGAGCTCAGGAGACAGCAAAGGGTGGAGCAGGCAGAAACCCCAGCTCCCCTGGGGGTCATCCCCTGGGAGGATTCCTTGCTCGACCCCAGCCCATGCAGCAGGAACCAGCGGCCTGGGGCTCAACAGGCAGGTGAGCCGAGTCCCTGCCAGGTCCCACCTCCGTCCGCCCCGTCGTCCCCTAAGTCCAGATCCAGGTCAGAGCCCAGGGCCTCCTCCTCCTCGTCGTCATCCATTTCTGCCTCCCTGTCCTCATCGCCTTCGCCCGCTGGCAGCACCGAGTAATTGTCCAAGCTGATCTGGGGCAGCATCTATGGTAAACAAGACGTCAGCATGGAGGGCTGCAGGTGGCCCTATGTGGAGATTAGTGTCGTGAGCAGAGTCCGAGGCCACACGACCCCTGGCCGGTCACATGATACCCCTGCCTCAGTGTTCTCATTTGGGAGTCCGAGATGGTCACAGGACCGCTCATAGGGCTGCCCTGAGGATGCACAACTAACACAATGTGAAGGCCTGAGATCGCTGCCTAGCATGGTATAGAAACAATAGTGAAGTTGTGCAAATGCCCTGGGGTGAAAGCCCCCAACAACAGGCCTGCCCACCCCCAGCTCTCCAGCAAACCCCAAGGGCCGCTTTCTCTGTCCCATCCCACCTGGGCATGTCTGCAGGCCCTGCTCAAGGCCTCAGGGTTGGGCCTTCCAGAAGCTTCCTCCCAGCCCCCAGCACAGGGAGCCTGGAATGTCTGAAATCCCAGCCCACCCTCCAGGCCCTGAAGCAGCACCAGCCAACCACTCCCTTCTCGGCAGGAAGGTTCTAGATCCCTGCTGCCCAACAAGGTCACCAGCAGTCCCTGGGGCTCACTGGGCACCCGAAAAAGTATCTAAAATGACCAAGGAATTGAATCTTAATTTTAATTGGTTTTTTTTCTGGCCATGCTGTGTGGCTTGCAGGATCTTAGCTTCCTGACCAGGGATTGAACCCAGACTCTCAGTAGTCAAAATACTGAGTCCTAACCACTGAATCGCCAGGGAACTCCCTTATGTGGCACAGGGCTGGTGCCCACCATGCGGACAAGGCCGCTTCAGAGCCTGGGCTGCCTTTTCTGGTCTCTACGTACCATGGCCTGGGCCTTCCTCGCCCGTGCCCGCGACTTCTTAAACCTCCTCGTTTCCTCTACTGAATCTTTCTCATCGTCCTTTTCTGGGAAAAGATGAACCAATCAGGAAGAAAGACATCTCCAGGCTCATGCCAGGTCAGCAGGATCCGTCATTCACTGTCCAGGGTCATTGATCACCATTCACGGGGAAGGGAGGACAAGCAAGGGACCGGCTACTTTAGGGAGGCTCCGAAGGTCAGGCCGCCCGCCCCCAGCCTCTTGGGTGACGGGCTTCCGCTTGCAGTTACCTTGGGGCCTGTGTCTGGTGAGGGGGAAAGCTCTTCTCAGCCTGCGGCATAGCGCATGCACCTCCGCCTGCCCCGTGAGGAACACCAGGATGCCACCTGGGGAGAACCAGACCCACCGTGACCCGCTCATTCACGCGGCAGATGCGGCCTTGGCCATGACCGTATGCCAGGCCCTGACCTGAGAGCTGGGGCGCGAGGAAGCGCTGGTCAAATCAAGGCTGCAGAGGCCCAGGCAAGCAACGGGACAAGCTGGGACTAGGCGCTAAACCGTTACCATGGAAACAGACCCTGCATCGCCGGACATGAGCACTGGGAAAGCAGGTCTACTCCCAGGAAGTGGGAGCAGCCCAAGTGTCCATCACCTGGTAAATGGATAAATGGAACTACCAGAGCATGTGCCATGGGGACAACTGTGAGGGGGGCGTCAGGAGGGACACTCAAGTGAAACAGCCCTGTCCACTTGTTCTGTGTCTGTGGGGACAAAAGGCACCCACAGCCCCACTGTCTGGTTAGTCCCTGAAGCCTCGCAATCCTTGGGGCAGAACGGGGCAGGGCAGGTGTGGTGAGCACCCCAGGACCATTGCAGACACTGAGATACAGAGAGGTCAAGTGCTACCCTGAGCCACCACTGCCTGCACCCCTGGGTCTGGAAGGGAAGGACCCCCCGGCCCACCTGGCCAGGGTCTCACCTGCAGGCAGCATGCGATGGATCTTGCAGACCTTCCGGAAGCACTCTCCGCTGTAGTCTTCCAGTGGTGTCCGCTTGTTGAAGTGCACTGTCACCGGGAACTGCCGGGACTCGACCTACCGGGAGGCACGGGGTCGGGGGTGGGGGATGACCTGAGCCCAGGCCTGAGCCCTCCCCCTTCTCTGAAATCTGACCATACCACCCCAACCCTCAGGCAACTCCAAGCTCTGCTATGGCTAACAGAGGGGCCCTCCTCCCCCCAGCAGCCCTGAGACCCCGGCCTGGATGGTACCTTAATGACCGGGGGTGGCTGGGTGAAGAGCCGCTGGTTCTGGGTGAAGTCCTCCACTCGCAGCGTGGCCGACATGATGAGCAGCTTCAGCGGCAAGTGCCTCTGGGGAACGAGAGACCCGGGGACCCACGGCCACCCGGGGCCGGGAACACTGATGGCAGGGTTGGGGCAGACTTCTGCCCTCCTGGTCTCATCTCCAGCCCCACAACCTGCTCCTCAGCCCCTCTTCTGGGTGCCAAAGATCCAAGAAAAAGTAGAAGTGGATGGTAGTGGCCTGTTAAAGGATCTCCCTTAAGATCCCCTCGAGGGACTTCCCTGGTGGTCCAGTGGTTAGGACTCAGCACTTCTAATGCTGGGGACCAGGGTTCAATCCCTGGTCGGGGAACTAAGATCCTGCAAGCAGTGTGTCATGGCAAAAAACAAAGGCTTAAAAAAAAAAGATTCCTGAGTCAAGCTCTGATGACGCTAGGCGAGACAGGAGGGCTGAGCTTGGGGTCCACCCCACACACGGGAACAGTGGGTATGGCTGCTGTCAGCCCCCGCCCAACATCATGACTGTCTGTCCCCAGAATGGACAAGGAGGTGCAGCCTGACTCAGGGATGGGTGCAGTGGGTGTGCCTGGTTTTCAGTCTCCTCAGCAGCACCTGCTATGCCCCCCATGGTGGGCTCTGCTCTTGAGCCCGTGGAAGCTGTCTTCTGAAGCTTGTAAACTGCAAACCCCAGAAGTTCAGTGTCTTTGGAGAACAAAAGCCATGGTGAGAGGCACAGTGCAGACCAAAGGTTCCACCACCTCCCCAACACAACCTCCCCTGTCTGGCCCCACCCCGTGCACCTCCATGACCCCATGCATCTCCTGTTCCTCCCACCTTACTCGCTCTGCTCCGCCGCCCTCAGCACATAAATCAAGACCACAGTGAGATGCTGCTAGAATGGTTGAGGACTAAAAACACGGAAAATGTCAAGTGTGGGTGAGGATGTGGAAGGCAGCCTGTATACTGTGGGTGGGAACACGGGAGGCAGGACCACTGCGGAAGCCAGCGAGAGCGGCTCAGATGATAACACGAGGAGCCCCTGTGGGACCCTGCAACCCTGCCCCTGGTACAGGCCCATGTCCTGGACATGGACATTCACGAGAGATGGAAAGTGGGAAGAGCCCAAGTCTCCAACAGTAGATGAATGGGTATATGAAATGTGGTCCAGCCACACAATGGATGATGATTCAGCCATAAAAAGGAATGAAGCACTGACACACGTGACAATGGGGATGAACTCTGAAAATGTGCTAAGTGAAAGAAACCAATCACAAAAGGCCACATGCTGGGACCTCTCTGGTGGTCCACTGGCCAAGACCCTGTGCTCCCAATGCAGGGGGTCTGGGTTTGGTCCCTGGTCAGGGAACTAGATCCTGCCTGCTGCAACAAAGATCAAAGATCTTGCATGCCACAACTATGACCTGGTGCAGCCAAATAAATAAATTAAAAAAAAACACACATATTGTGTGATTTCATTTATGTGAAATATATGGAATAGATAAATCCACAGAGACAGGAAATAGACTGGATACCTTGAGATGGGAGAGTGAGGAAGGACTATGGAGATAGCTAAATGGTTTCTTTTCAGGGTGATGAAAATATTTTAAAGTTGACTGTAGTGATGGCATATAACTCTGAATACGCTAAAACCCACAAATTGCACACTTTAAATGCATCAATTACATAAAGTTAACAAAAAAACCCCAAAATAAAACATGACACAAGCCCTACACCTGCCCCAGGGCCTTTGCACCTACTTTTCTTGACATTCAGAATCTCCTCCTCTTAGTAGCTGCTTCTCACTCCTTCCCTTCCTCCAACCCCCCACTCAAAGGCCACCCTCTCTGAGTCTCATCATGCTACCAACCCTCTACCTTCTGCCTGATTTTGCTCCCTCTTTCTGGTTTTGTCCACCGGGAATTCACAGGCTTCTGAGTTGCTTACTGCCAGTTGCCTTCACTAAAATGGAAACCCCATGAGGGCAGGAACCTCTGTCTTGTTCACTGAGATCTGATCGATGCCTGGCACACAGCCCACACAGAACTGATGTCTGATGACAAAGATTCTGCACTTCTAAGAACTGGGTGTGGTGAAGCATCAACCTCTCAGCGGGACTGGCGGGAACTGTTCCACGGCACCCCATCGTAGCACAGCATCCCTTTGACGACCATCCCTGCCCGATTGAGGGAGGGGGGAGATGGAGGAAAATGTTGACCCCAGGCCGGGCATAGGGTGTCTCACAGCACATGGAACATAAAGGCTTGGTGGGCGGCCCCACCAGTTCTGTGGATTCCAAAGACCTGGCTGGTGTCTTAAAGCCAGATGCAGTGGGGTCTGGCTAAGTGCATGCATGCTCAATCATGTCCAGCTCTTTGTAGCCCCATGGACTACAGCCCGCCAGGCTCTTCTGCCCATTGAATACTGGAGTGGGTTGCCATTTCCTTCTCCAAAGGATCGTCCCGACCCAGGGATCAAACCTGAATCTCCTGCACTGGCAAGTGGGTTCTTTACCACTCAGCCACCTGGGAAACCCACAGTGCAGCCTGGCCCACCATGAACTCCTTGCTTCAGCCTCTGGCTCTGACAGAGGAAAAGGTAACAGATGATGAGGAGGCTGAACCTAGGATTGGAATCTGTTTACACCAAGACCCAGAGCCCTGGCTCCTGGCCTGGAGGATGCTGTTCTAAGAGACCCTCTCACAGCAGCAGTCCCAGTGTGGATGGGCGTGGGCTGAGTGGGCCTCGGGGTTCCCCGGCACCTCCTGCCTACCTTCTCTCGGAGACACACGATGCGGGACAGGAGGCCGATGAGGATGTCCGTGTACACGCTCCTCTCGTGGGCCTCATCGATGATCACCACCTTGTACTTCAGCAGCAGGAAGTCCTAGGGAGGAGGTCAGGGGATGAGGATGGCCACCTGGGCCGGAGCACCCCAGGACGAGTGTGCACCCCAAAGCATCCATTCAATGAACCCCTTTGGTAGCTGGCATGGATCCAAGAGCACTTGGCCTGCAGGGAGTTGTGGCCTACGACCCCAGGCCTATTTCTTCATCTGTAAAATGGGACAAGAGGACCCATCTCAAGAGGTCATGGAGAAGTTTCGATGACAATTACTGTTTGTAAAGCAGACAGCACAGAGCCTGGGGCCTGGCAGAGAAACTGCTAGAGAAAAGGCAGCTGTGATCTATTAGAGGTGAGCTACCAGTGCGGATGGTGGGGAGGCAGGCAGGAAACAGGGACCAGCGGATGTTGGGTGGGGACCAGGGGAAACAGGGCAGCACGGGCCATACAGACAGAGGCCATCAGACCCCAAACCACACAGCCGCCTTCACAGTGATCTTGGCTGGCCTCGAGGCAGAGGCAGGAAGTCACCTCTGTCCTCCCCAGAGACCCCTGCCCAGGGGGACATCATACAGCCAGTGGGTAGCAGTGTGCTTTTGGCTAATGCATAAAGTCTGTGAACCAAACTGCAATAAACATACAAGCTCACATGTAATGAACACCTATTAGGTGTTCTGCTAAAGTGCTTTCGTGCTTCATATGATTTAAAGCAATTAGGAGGAAGGTATCAGCTTGCAGATCAAGAAACCAAGGCCCAGAGAGGTTAAGCAACTTATTCAAGGTCACACAGCAACATGACAGTGCTTTGCCAAAATTTGCCACACTGGCTGCTCACACCCTGGGTGACATCCTAGCTTCCCACCCTTACGCTCACCAGCCTTGCTCTGTGACATGAGAAAAGCAACCAACCTTCTGGATTTCCTTGAGCAAGACACCATCAGTCATGAACTTGATTCTGGTCTCTTCAGTCACGTTTCCTTCATATCGGATCTGGTAGGAGACGACCCTGCAGGCACAAGCTACAGATCAGTCCTCTAGAGCTGCGGCTGCTTGGGGTTGTAGCCACTCCAAAGAGACCAGCAGAGCAGGCCTGGCCCCGCTAGGCAGGCGGCTAAAGGCAGGGCCCACCAGCTCCCCTACCAAGGCCCAAACACTGGGCCACTCTGCCTCCTCTAGAACCCTGGCCTCCAGGGTGAGGGGAGGGGAGCTCACAGACAAGCGCATGGCATGTTAATCAAACATGCACACAGACCTTGGCTGGAGTCCAGTGTAAACAATCAACTCTAAAAACTTCTTAGGAGGCAATCCAGGAAATGGGAACATGGAAGGAACACACTCAAGGGTTAGGACCCACTTTTTAGTGATGGTGACGGTACTGCAATTATGTTTACAGTTGTCTGTAAAAAAAAAAGTTACAGGGAATTCCCTGGTGGTCCGAGGGCTTCCCTGTATGGCTCAGATGGTAAAGAATCCACCTGCAATGCAGGAGACCTGGGTTCAGTCCCTGGGTTGGGAAGATCCCCTGGAGGAGTGCATGGCAACCCACTCCAGTATTCTTGCCTGGAGAATCCCCATGGACAGAGGAGACTGGCGGGCTACAGTCCATGGGGTTGCAAAAAGTCAGACATGACTGAGCAACTAGGTACCCTGGTGGGCCAGTGTTTAGGACTCCTAGTTTCCACTCCAGGGGCCCAGGTTCAGTCCTCAGCTGGGAAACTAAGATCCCCAAGCTGAGGGGCAGCCAAAAACAAACAAATAAAAATCCCCAAAACAGAGTCTTGATCTTTCAGACCTACACGATGAAATATTGAGGCTGAGATGATGAGACATCTGAAACTTGCTCCCCAAGGACTGAGGGAGAGCATGGGGCACATGAAACAGAGCTGGTCATGAGGTGACGATTCCTGAAACCGGGTCTCGGGTACGTGGGGGCTCATTATACTGGTCTTTTCACTTTCGCATGTGGTTGGAAATTTAACACTAACAAGTTAAATAGAGAGGATGAGAGAAAGTGGGGGCAGCTTTGTGTATACTATAAATTTCAAGATATGCAATGAAATGGCATAGGAAAGATACGGCAATCTGTGAACAGCCTCCAGGGTGAACGAGGGCGTGTGTCACGGCTCAGCTCGGTGGGTCTGGACGGCCACCCTCAACCCTCCCCCATGAAGCAGGGCACTCACCGTGGCGACAGATTCATCTCCTTGGCTACTCGCTGGGACATGGCCACGGCGGCCACTCGGCGGGGCTCCGTGACGCCGATGATGCTGTTGTTGCTGTGAGAGGGAGAACGCAGGGCTGACTTGCAGGCAGGAAGGAATGGGCCCAGCAGGCCCGAGGCTGCTCTCCCTACAAATGCCCCTGGCTGGTGTCTGGGACCCTGGGTTTCAGGGGGGCTTCCACCTCTCCCTGATGGACAAGAGGGGCTCCCTGGGCCTGGACTGTCTGTACAAACTACACGATTCATGCTGACAACTGCTTTCCTTCAAGGAGTCTAGAATTTGGCAGGTGCCAGGCAGAGAGTGACCAACCCCCAATGAAGAACCCTGGGCACCGTGTCTCTACGGGCATCCTGGTAGAGGACACTCATACGTGTTGTCACAACTCATCACTGGGGGAATGAAGCATGTCCTGTGTGATCCCCCAGGAGAGGATTCTGGAAGCCTGTGCCTGGTTCCCCCAGGTTTCACCCCATGTGCCTTCCCCCTTTGCTGATAGGAACTTTGTGTCCTTCACTGCAGGACCTGGGGGTCTTCCAAGAAAACTGGTGAACTTGGGGGAAATCTTGGGGACCTCGACATACACGGGTCAAAAGGGCTAACAGGAGATGACACACCGCCGCTCCCACTAGGAACTGACCTAAGTGTTTTACACAGATCCAGTCATTTCATCTACATAACAACCCCGTGAAGTAGGTGGCAATGCTGAGCCCTCATCACACAGCTGAGGCCCAGAGAGGTTAAGGAAACTGCCCCAAGTCACATAGCATGTCAACCACAGGACTGGAATCAGATCTCCAGGAGCCCGTGCTCCTAACAACTTCGGGGAACCACATCTCACTGTCGCCTGAGAGACCTGCAGCGGACCCTGTGGCCAGCCCCCACCTGCTGTAGCCTGCTTCGTAGAGAAACTGCGGCACCTGGGTGGTCTTCCCGCTGCCGGTCTCACCACATACGATGACGATAGGGTGCTCAGCCACTGCCTCCATGATTACTTGTTCTTCAGAGAGAATCGGGAGCTTCAGCCGCTCTTCCTGGTGAGAAAGAGGAAGTCAGAACTCAGGGAATGGAGGGTAGAGGGGGGTTGCAGCCGCTGCAAAAGGGCAGATGGGATGAGGGGTCTTTGCTCAAAGCAAGACTATACAGGTGATGTGGTTCCTACAAAGGCAGCGGCTGGCACCCAGTCAAGGGGGAACAAGTGGGCCCCCCTGGAGGATGGAAGCCTTGACGGCTGGGAGGGGGCCAGAGACATGGGTTGGGTCCTTTGGAATGTCACACCCAGCATCCAAAGGGTCAGCTTGGTGCAGAGAAGCCCCTGGGTGGCACAAGAATCCTCCGCTGTTGCTGGGGGGAGTTCACACTTATGGAAGAGTCAATTCAGCAAACAACTGGGTGCTAATTTTACCAAAGTTCAGGATGTGAGACACAGCATCACATCCTAGGTGTGATCCTGCTAGGTACTCACACATGAGTATATGCACATGCACACACACATACATCCACACACAAGTATTACATAGTGAGGGAGGAGTTTTGTGAACCCCTGCTTGCTCTGATTATGTGCGAAGCATGTCTAATTTTAAAAATTCTGTTCTCTACTTATATTCTATTGGTTAAAGAAAGAAGCGCTGGCTATCTCATGACCCCATGACGGCTGTGACCTCCAGTTTGCAAACCCTGTCCCCCAAAGTTTTGCACCTGTGATGACAAGAAAATGACAAGAAAATGTAAATCAGCAGAGAAGATGGGAGCAAAAAGCTAGAACATCTCAAATGTCCAGCCAAAGATGACGACTTAAACCATGCTCTATTCAAGCAGAGGAATACTCTACAGCAGTTTCAAAACCAAAACCAAACCAAATGGACCTCAGTGACATACATCTTCACAGATAAGTAAATCCAAGGAACATAATGCTGATGAACAGAAAAGCAAAGTGCAGGAAAACATATGTGACACAAGGCCACTTATAAAAACAGACAAACCTAGGCTCAGGAATATGCTTATGGAAAAACCACAGAGAAAGGCCAAGGGAGGAACCCGGGGGGCACCAGGGATGCTGGATGGTGGGGAGCCTGTGTCGCTGAATCAGTGTGTGGAGCAGAATCCCACACCCCTCACTTGCCAGTGGATAGCATCAGGCTCTGACATCACCTACAAGGAAACCTTTGTGGCGTGAAGCCAGTGCACTTCAAGGTCTGTTAGAGCAGTGAGCTCACCCTAATTCTTTATATGTGTCGAGGGAATTTGTAATTTCCTCGGTTCTGTTTCATCACAACAAAAATTTGAAGCCCTTGGATGGACCAGTGTTATAGCTCAGTTTTATTCAGAAAGTAAAGAAAAATACATCCTCGAGGCGTGAGGGCAGGCCGACCTAAAAGATGAGAAAAGAAAGGCCCCCAGCCCAATTTCGGTTCTTCTTTTTATATGTTTTTTCTCTTCCCCCTGGGCCTGCCCTATGTAAACTGGGCTAGCCACGAGTGCTGTTTGTTTCACCTGAGGTCTTCACTCCTGTTCTTGGACCTTTCTTTGTTCTATTTTCATGGGCTTTCCCCCTCCTGTCTTTCTGCCACCGCCATTCTGGACTCCTTTTTCCTATTCTAACTACCTAACATATATAAGCACACAAATGTACCTGTGACCAGAATTGCAATCTCATTAAATGTGTATGTTAAGTTGCTTCAGCTGTGTCTGACTCTTTGCGACCCTATGGACTGTAGCCCACCAGGCTCCTCTGTCCAGGGATTCTCCTGGCAAGAATACTGGAGTGGGTTGCTGTGCCCTCCTCCAGGGGATCTCTCCGATCCAGGGATCGAACCTGCATCTTTTACGTCTCCTGCATTGGCAGGTGGGTTCTTTACCACTAGTGCCACCTGGGAAGCCCTCTCAGTAAACTACTACTTTTCATAAGGAACAGTGACTAATATTTTCTATTCTTTTCCATTAAAAAAAAAAAAAAGCTGGTGGCACCCCACATGTTTCCACAATCCAATCTGTGGTTTGAAATTGCTGCTCTGAGACCCATGAACCCTCTGCCTCAGGGCCTTTGCTCACGCAGTTCTCAGTATGGGACAGCCCCCCTGTTCTCAGCTGGTCACTGAGCTCTTACCCCAGAAGACACTTTCCCTAATGAGCCTATGTACTCCTGCACTGCCCCCTCATGGTACCCGATCTTCCCTTGTGTGACACTGTGTTGTCCACCTTGGTCTTGTCTGCTGGACTGAAAGCTCCAGAGGCTGTAGACTGCTCTACTTCCTGGGCTGGCAGGTAGATGGAGTAACCACCATCTACAACGGGTCAAACACTGAGGCATCACCAACCTCAAAGCAGTCTCATTAAATGACTTATTCTTAATTGGAACAATGCACTAATATTTTCTATTCTATACTTCCATGGGCCTCGAGCTTCATGTCCCTTAATCTTGTTGTCGTGACAACCCAGTAAGACACTCACTTTACCAGACAAGGAAACCAAGTGCAGAGAGGTGGAACCCCTGTGAGTAGACAGGTACCGCCATTCCACAGATCAAGAGAGTGGGGCCCGGGAATGAGCTGGGAGGTGGAGGGATCAGCACTCCGTTCCAGGTCAACTGACTCCATAGCCTAAGCTTGTGTCCCGAGGAGTGGACATGGGCCAGGACCCATGGTCAGAGGCTGCAGGTGACAGCGACCAGATGAGAAAGGCAGCTGACACCCATCTCAAGAGCCCCACCACGTGCCAGGCACTCGTTCATCAGCCTGACAAGGCAGGTACAGCTATCCCCCTTTTCCAGATGATGAAACCTAGACACAGAAGGAGACGCAACCTGCTCAGATACCGGGATGCCCTCTTGCTGCACCCTCAGCCCCTCACCATACTGACCTGATCCCCTAAGCTCTCCATCAAACACCGGAGCGACCAACCTGCATTTCAGGGGAGCGGTTCACAGGGATGAAGACGGCGGGCTTCGAAGGAGGGCTGGCTAGGGCAGAGATTGCTGCAGGAGTAGCTGCTGGAGGGGCAGGAGTCTCGGCTGGGCCGCTGGGCACTGGGCTCTGGCCTGTGGCCCCAGAAGGAGCTGGTGGCAGGTGCACTGGGGCTGACCCTGCACTGGCCTCTGACCGATTGTCTGTTGGGGCCTCCTCGGGTTCAGAGTCCACTGAGGATTCAGACTCCTCTTCTGCCTCCTGGCGGCGGCGCTTCCGGTGGGCCCCACTGAGGCTGCTGATCTTCTCCGGACCCTGGGCTGTCATATCATCTGGTTTCCTGCCGGGAAGGCCAGAAATCAGACTCTAGGGTGGGCCTGCTGACCTGAGGCAGCTCTGGGTTGCTGAAGGCTCATCAGAGGCAGGACTCAGAGGCCACACCCCTTCCTGCTTCAGGGCCTTTGCACCCGCTGTCCAAGGTCCCTTCAGGTGACTTCTCCCTCACTTGACTCAAAGGTCACCTCTCAGAAAGACTTCCCCTGACTCTGCAGCCTGCATCACCTCTCCCACCCCTCCATCCTCGTCACCCTGCTCTTTTCTCCTGAGCAATTACAGCACTAGATGTGTATGTATTTGTCTAACTACTGCCCATCTCCCCATCACCAGGATGTAAGTTCCTTATGGGAAGAAACTTTATTTTTGTGCACTGCTCTATTCCTAGGGCCCAAAGGAGAGCCTGAGATGCACTTTGCATTCAATAAGCAGTCGTTAAATGCGCCCCAAGTCTTACGGGATGGTACTGGAAATGAACACGAGCCAAATGTGAGAGGGCAGCAAGCAGGGGCCTGAGCTGAGGGTTATACATGGGCCCCACCTCAGGCCAGCTGCCCTGCGGGAATGCCAGCTGGTGTGGCCACATCATCCAACAGGTGAATACTGGGGCATGAGGGGGAACCTGGGATTTTAATATGAAAACTCCTAATTCTTAAATATTGATTGTAGAAGTGACTGTCTTCCCCAAATACACAGCCACCCAGATATCAACATATGATCTTATATGGAAACAGGGTTTTTGTAGACGTCATTAAGATGAGGTCAAACTGGATTGTGGTGGGCCCTAAATCCAGTGCCTGGTGTCCTAAGAAAACAGAGACTCAGACCCAGACAGGAGAAGGCCATGGAAGACTCAGAGACACATGGAGGACACTACAATGACCCAGAGACTGGGGTGACGTGGACTGCAGAGCACCCAGGATTGCTGGCACCACCAGAAGCTTGAGAACAGAATAGAACAGGCTCTCCTATCTCTGGCAGGAACCAACCCACGGACACCTTGACTTTGGACTTCCGGCCATCAGAGCCACGAGAATAAATTCCTCTTGTGTTAAGGTGCCTAGTTTGTGGCGCCTTGTTACCGAAGTTCTAGAAGACTCATACATGGACAAAAGATCCAAATGCCTACTGATGCTACATGAACCAGACAAAACCTGCTAATGGGCTAAATAGAATTCTTGACCGCCTGATGGTAATTTCTAACCTACTCGTCCCGGCACCAGCTGGAGGGACCTGAAATGCAAGACTCGGTGCTTCAGGGAAACACCAGCATCCCTGGAGTAAGGAACTCTGCTGTCTTACGCAGTGTAGGATATTCAGCAGCATTTGAGGTCTGTACCCATTGGACGTATTTTAGCACATGGGTCATTGCAAATGTATTTTCTCATAAACCCAGAAGACCCCAAAACTTCCAAGACATTTCCCTGCCTTGGGAATCCTGGCGGGAGGAACGGGCTTCAGAGAGGAACTTGGTGACTTACTCTTTGGTGTGGTACATGCGTTCTCCAGTGCCCAGCTTGGACGTGGTGTAGAAGAGTCTCATTTCAGCTTCTGAAACCTGGACTTCACTCAATTTCTGTAGCATCTCAGCTCGCTGGGGAAGGAAACGAGTGTGTTATACATTTGGCATCATGAGCCTCTAAAGAGAAGGGAAGTTGAGACTCTAAATAAATTTACAGCATCCCTAACACCCACAGTCTTTTTTAAACCAAAGGCTGAACTTCAATCGCCTGGTTTCACAGTGTTCTTAACGTCGACAGACATGTGAGCTTGGGGTGGCTTCTCGTCCCCTTACAGACTCTGTGGTTGGATAAACAAGGTTCTCTTTGCCCCATGGTGTGTCATAAGAGATTATCGACTAGCCAGATGCCCATCAAAGGGAGATGGAATAAATAAAGTAGGGCCCATCTGTATAATGCAAGACTCCTTGGCAGTTAGTACAGGGGAGGAACAGTTCTTTGTGTGATGGGAAGTAGTCCCCACGCTATTTGGAATAAAGCAGTGAGGGGGCTGGGCCCAGTTGGTTCCCTTCCTCTGTGTGAGCGAGTCACGAGTGTTTGTTTCACTATTCTTGAAATTATACAGATACTTTATATGTGCTCACGTATGTATATATATGTACACACACATGTATATGTGCGTGCACAAATTTCATAACCGAGAAAAGAAAAAACAACATACAAAACAGCAAGCAAAGATGCTTGCAGGATTAAAAAACAGCACACACTCACAGGACAGTGAGTGGAAATGGTCTTTATTTTAGAGATGCAAACTGAAATATTCAGAGATACAATGCTACATAATGGGTTGAATGGTGGCCCTCCAAAAAGATACATCCATGTCCCAGTGCATGCTAAGTTGCTTCATTTGTGTCCTACCCTTTGCGATCCTATGGACTGAAGTCTGCTAGGCTCTTCTGTCCATGGAGATTCTCCAGGCAAGAATATTGGAGTGGGTTGCCATGCCCTGCTCCAGGGGATCTTCTGGACTCAGAGATCACACCCAAGTCTCTTAAGTTTCCTGCACTTGGCAGGCAGGTTCTTTACCACTAGCGCCACCTGGGAAGCCTATGTCCCAGGGCAGGATCTTATTCAAGTTAAGTGTAATTAAGGATCTCAAGATGAGATACTGGATTAACCAGGTGAGACCTAAATTCAAAGACAAATGTCCTTATCAGAGATACACAGAGGAGAGACACAGGGAAGCAGCCCATGTGAAGATGTGGGCAGAGAATGGAGTGATGTGGCCACAAGCCAAGGAAACCTGGAGCCACCAGGATTTGGAAGAGGCCAGGTACTGCCCTCCCCTGGAACCTCCAGAAGAAGCACAGCCCTGCCCACCCTTTGATTTCAGACTTCTGGCTTCCAGATCATCATGAGAACACATTTCCACTGTTTAAGACACCCAGTTGGTGGTCATTTGTCAGGACAGACACAGAAACAGTACAGACTGAGGCTGCCTGGGCTCTGATCTACAGGGAAGGAAAGTGGCCGGCTGTGGAGATGATAGAGGTTGACAAAGGGCCTGACAATTGTTGGAGCTGATGACAGGTACACGGGACTTTGCAACACTAATGTCTACTTTTATATATGTTAGAATTTCTCAATACAAAATTTTCTCCTTAAGAAAACATTAAGCAAAAAAGGCCAAAACTCTCTAGGATAAAGTTTAAAAAATAAACAAAATGAATACGGGGTGGAGAATAAACAGTGAGCATGTTGATCGACTTGACTCCTGGTTCAACAAACCTGGTCTCTATAAATCTGAACCGATTCCAGACTGACAGACACACCAGAAGCATGTCCTCCTTCGAGGGCTGGAAGGTTCTGATTTTGCATGTCCCACATGGGGCACTAGTTATATGTGGCTATTTGCATTTAAATTAATTAAAACCAAATCACATTAAAAATTCAATTCCTCTGGAACTTCCCTGGTGGTCCAGTGGCTGGACATGCTCCCAATGCAGGGGGCCTGGGTTTGATCCCTCCCTGGTCAGGGAACTAGATCCCACATGCTGCAACTAAAGATCACGCAACCTGCAACTAAGACCAGGTACAGTCAAATAAATATATTTAAAAAAAAAATCAATTTCTCAATCTGACTGGCCACATCTCATGTGCTCAACAGTCATACATGGCTGGTGACCACTGTACTATATGCTGCAGACAAAGAATTTGTCCTTCATTCCAGAAAGTTCCATCTGACGGTCCTATTGCAGAGATCATGTCAGGGAACACAGACCCCTTCCCTCCCCATCCCTCTCCAGTCTGGAGGGCTGAGTGCAGACAGAGCATGAATACCTGGCTCTTCTTCTCCTTCTGGTCTAAGATTCTCTGTAGCATCTTCCGTTCTTTCTTGGTCAGAGGCTTCTTCTCCTTCTTGGACAGGGGAGGGGCTTTGGTCTTTTTCTTCTTCTTCCCGGGAAGGACAAGAGCATTGCTTCCATCGACTCCTTTCAACGTGTCCTTATCTGAAAAGATACACTCGCCTGACCCACAGCCCTGGAGGCTGGAGAGCGAGGATGCCTAGGGTCTCAAGATGCTATCTTTTTTTTTTTTTTTCAAGATGCTATCTTAATGTTGTTTTCCTCTGGGGTGGCCCCCTGCCCTCTGCAAGCCATCCAAGCACTTGCACAGGAATGGGGATGTAGGCCCGCCGCACCTCTACTACACTCTCCATCCAGCACCTGCTGCAGGTCAGCCTCAGCCATGAGTCGGGGTACCCCCATCCTTGTGTTTTGAGGAGACAGAAGGAGGTACAGCAAGGAGGGAATAAACTACACCAGTGTCTTCCTCCCAGTAGGGTCCTGCTTTCAGAGAGTCTGTGAGGTCAAAACCACTTTTATAATAACTCTAAAAGATACTCTCTTCCGGGTGTACAGTGGACTAAGTTCTGAGCTTGTGTTATATCTATTTTTAAATGTCGGCATTTTTGGGAATTCCCTGGTGGCCCAGTGGTTAAGACACCATGCTTTCACTGCAGCGGTGCAAATCCATTCCTGGTTGAGGAGCTAAAATCCCACGTCACAACTAAGCTCGTGTGCTGCAGCTGCTGAGCCCACGTGCGACAACAAGAGAAGCCCGTGCGCTACAGTAGAGATCCACTGAAGACAAAAATCAATCAAAAACATAAAAAAAAGCCCCAAGCCCCCAAATCCCTGTTTTAATTTCTAATATGATAAATTTCCATACACAGAACTCACCCTAGCACTTTGGGGTCTTCAATGTTTAAGAACATTAACAATGTCCTTGGAGGAAAAAATTGGGGAACCAATGTGCCATAGGAAGAGAAAAGGGGGGGATATGCTAAAAATAAAAGAGGGTAACAATATTGGATCAGTGATCAGAGAAGGCTCTTTGCAGAAGGCAAGCTGCTTTATAATCTTATAAGGTCCCTCTGGCCCCTAAAAGTCTCAGGGATAAATGGAGATGTCTTGTTCGAGGGTGAGAAACTTTCCCCAAATCTTTGGGTCTAAAAGACCTCGGGCTCCTCTGTGCTCACTTCACTGTCAGTCTATCTCACTTCCTGAGCTGTCACTGCTGCTTCAACGAACGATGCCCATCACAGTTCAGGTCAGTAAAGACACAGCCTGTCTTTACTTCTCAAAGCAGTCTCAGTTACAAATATATTCTCCCAAAATACCACCCCCATGAACAGGTATGTAACTGCCGGACCCATGTGACAGCTGAGAAAACTGAGGCACAGAGATGTCAGGTGAGTCAACTCCCAGCCAATCCCTGCAACTTCTGAGGAGGGAATTCAGACTCCAGATTCCCCCCTTGACAATCTTTCCCATAACTTCACTGCCTTCAGGGTCCAAGAGGAGAGTGTGGAAGAGGAGGCTGGTTAGTGGGTGAAGAAAAGTAGGCTTCCCCATTGGGCCCGGTTCTCCCTCCCTCCACCTCCAGAATCTAGGCCCACTCTTCCCTAATCCTGAATCAGCCTGAGCTTCAGGGATCCTATACAAACAGCCGGATGAGTTTAACTGTGGAGTGTGTTCGGTTTCAAGGGCCAGCAAGACAACTGAACTCATTCAATAACTTCATCCTCAACTCTCCTGTGAAACTGGACGCATCAAGGTCACTGATGGGCTCCCCGGTGTTACATCCAGGGGTCCTTCTCTCCCTCCCTGACCCCACAGCAACATGACACAAATGGTGGGTCTTCTTCATGGTCCCTGGACAACCACACTCCCAAGGGTCTCCCCCCACCTCACTGGGCTAAACTCACTGCTCAATGAGAGCTGGTCCAGTCTTCAGACTTAAATAAATATCATCTATACACAGTGATGACTCCAAACTGCTATCTCCCCTGGACTTGCCTCTTCTAAGCATCTGAGTCAACAGCTGCCTGACTATCCCTCTACTTGGATATCTAACAGGACCCCCAAAACACTCATATCCAAAACCAAGCTCTTGGCCTCTTCCCAAGCTGGGCCCTCCCTGCCTTCTCCAGCTTCCAGCCACTGGACCCCACACCTGGGATTCATTCTTGACATCTCCTTTGTTCTTGTGCACAGTCAGCCAGCAAATCCTATTAGCTCCATCTTCCAAATATATCTTGAATTCAACTACCTCACACATCCTCGGCTGCTGCCTCCCCAGACCAAGCATCAACTCCTGCCCTACTGACTGTACTCAGCAGCCTCCTTTCCAATCACCCTGATTCTTTGCCCTCTACTGCTTTTCCTCAACACAGCACCACAGTGATGCTGTTAAAACCTAAGCCCATGCCTTGTTCCTCCTCTGCTCTAAACCCTGCAGGTCCACTGTTCTCACCATGACCCGCCAGGTCCTACCCATCCTGCCCCCACTTAATATTTCATCTCCACTCAGCCATTCTGATGGCCCTCAGGTCTTAAGGATTCAGTGCTTTCTCAATGGGGCCTTCCCCATCTACCTTAAGAAACTCTGCAACCCACCAAACACCTCTTGTACTTTATCTGTTTAGTATGAATGTATGCAAAATATTCTATATATTCTGTGTTTTTCTTTACTTGTCTCTTCCCAAAAGCATAAAACTGCACAGAAGGGATTTTTCTCCCGCCTTAATCTCATCTTCTGTTACTCTCCTAGAATAGTGCCTGGCACATCATAAGTCTTCCCTAACAAAACAGAGTCTTAGCAGAAATGTCAAGCAGCCTGGAGCTAGAGACAGACAGACCTGGGCTGAAAAATACAGACTTAAAAGTCGCTGGTAGGGAGGTTATAATTGATGCCATCAAAATGAATGTAACTACCTTATTTTCTTGTCCAAATTCCCCACATTGCTATACCACGACCACACTGGAAAGAAACTCCAGGTATTGTTCCAAACTCAGTTAAAACGAAAACTGTCACTATTCCCCGTTTCTCTGGATCATCTGAGGTGGGTGGCCTCTCTCCGGGAGTCTTCCGGAGTCGCAGAAGCAGGACATAGTCCCGGCGTCCTTCAGCCCCACTGGCCAGCCCTGGCCCCAAGGCCCTGGTTGGTCTTTCACCCGAAACCCAGCCCCTGTCCAGGGCCTTCTTACCCTCCAGTTCCAGCCGCACGGGGGGCGGCTCGGGAGGGCCTTTCGAGGTGCCGGGGGCCGCCTGCTGGCGCCCCTTGATGTTGTACCTCCGGCGTAGCTTCCCCATGGCGTCCGAACTCCTGCTCCTGCAGGTAGGGTAGCAAGACCCGCGCACTTCTAAGCCCAACCCACGTGGGCCCCCACCAAGATTCAGGACGGAAAACTTCCGGGCTACGCTATCGCGAGAGCTGGTACTAACAGACCTCCTGGGGGCGGGGCTAGAGGCGGGGTCACCTTAAAAATCAAGGCCTGTGGGGTCGGAGCAAGGCGGGGCCAAGTTGGGGAGGGGCGGGGCCTGAAGTGCCATAGAGTCTTCTGTTTAAGTCCAGGGCTGTTCGCAGGAGTGTGGTTTGAACCTCTAAATCTGAATTATCTACTAATATTAATTTGGGAATGAGAGTGTTTTGTCGGCTTTAAAGATATAATCTACTCCTAACACAGTCTTCTTCCCTCTTTTTTTGGCTTATCTGTACTTTCTGATGTTCTTCAAGCAACATTATTTGTGTAGTAAAAAAGGCAAGCTCAAGCTCCAATACTTTGGCCACCTGATGCGAAGAACTGACTCATTGAAAAAGACCCTGATTCTGGGAAGGACGGAAGTTGAAGACAGGAGGAGAAGCGGACACCAGAGGATGAGATGGTTGGATGGAATCACTGACTCAATGGACATGAGTTTGAGGAAGCTTCGGGAGTTGGTGATGGACATAGAGGCCTGGCGTGGTGCAGTCCATGGGGTGGTGAAGAGTTGGACACGACTGAGTGAACTGAATTGATTGTGTCTCCATTTTTTTCTATTAAAAGCGTAAATGGTTAAGGGTAAGTAAATTATATCATCAAAAAAAAGTGAAGGTGCTAGAAGTTATTTTAGAATTTTAGAGAGGATAAAGTTATATTCCAGAGTTAAAGTCATTGCCCCAGGAAAAGCATTTGAATAACCCAGAACAAGAGCTGGCTGCCAAGTAAGTAAGTAACAGTTGTGGAACGTAAGAATGAATGATAACTGTGATTAATCTGGACAAGCTCCCCTCTTCTTCAGAAAAGCAAAAACAAATCCCTACAAACACACAGGTGGAGCATGAGAGGATTTTGATAGCATACATATGAACATTCTTTTAATTAATTAAAAAGGATTTGGGGGAAAAGTTATAATAAGCAAATCACACTTGTGTTTTCATGGGTTTTATTGCTTAGGATAATAGCAGTCTATAGTTCTTTAAATATGCTTATTTAAGTAAATAAAAAGTTATTATTAGGTTGGTAATAGTACATTCTATTTTCTTCTAAAATATTATATACCAAAGATTACCTCCAGAAGATATAAAGAACATTCTATAAAGTAAAAGGAAAATACACAACAGCATGGATCTCATAAATATAATGAACAAAAGAAGCCAGCCACAGAAGATCATATTTTATGATCCAATTCACATAAGTTCAAAAACAGGCAAAATGAATCCCCTAAATTTTGGAGGGGGCATAGTGAACAGGAGAGGGCAAAGGAAGACTTTTGGCAAAACTGATAATGTCCCTTTTCTTGACCTGGGTGCTGGTCACCTTGTGTGTCGTTTAAATTCATAGAGAAGCACCTATGACTGAATATTTTTCTGCTTGTATACCACTTAGTTGTGTATGACTCTTCGCAACCCCATGGACTATAGCCCACCGGGCTCCTCTGTCCATGGGATTCTCCAGGCAAGAGTGCTGGAGTGGGTAGCCATTCCTTTCTCCAGGGGATCTTCCTAACCCAGGGATCGAACCCTAGTTCTGAATTGCGGGCAGATTCTTTACCACCTGAAACACTAGGGTGTCTTGTATACTGTACTTCAGTTTTCAAAAGTTTACTTTAAATATTTTTTTAAAAAGATGATGATGAAATATACACCAGTGAATATATGAAAACCTCACCAGAAATCTAGAAAAATGTAAGTTCAAAATAAGATTCAGGGACTTCCCTGCTGGTCCAGTGGCTAAGACTTCATACTTCCAGTCCAAAGGGACCTGGGTTTGATTCCTGGTCAGAGAACTAGATCTCACAGGCTGCAATTGAAAGCTCCTGCCTGCCACAATGAAGACCTGGTACAGCCAAATAAATGAATAAAGTAAATGTTTAAAAAGATAACTTTAAAAACAAACAAACAAACAAAAAATAAAAAGATAACTTTTCACTCTGGGTTGACAAAAATTAAGTTTTATTTTTATATCATTTACTTATTGAAGAAACTAAGGTCATTTATCCTGTTCAATGTTCCACATTCTGACTTTAGGTACTGCTGTTTCTAATTTTTTTTTGCTTCCATCCCCTATGTTTCCTGTAAACCATAAGTTAGATGTGGAGGTCACATCAAGTTAGGGTCCAAAGTGTTTTGGGAGAATCCATCACACAGGTAGCTTTGGAATTTTACTACCAAGATTGGTGGGTCCAGCCCCCTCCATTTTCAAGTTCTCCACCAACATGTCACCTTTTGGTTTCAGTCTGTTGATGATCATGGCCTGGATCCATCATTTCATTAAGGGGTGCAAACTTATTTTCTAATCTCTCTCACTCCCTTTTCATTTACTACCTGGATTTCCTAAAAAGAACTTCCCGTTCTCAACTATTTGCTGACTCTGAAATAGAGTTCGTTCAAGAAGGGCAGGAGGGAGTGCTTAATGCTTTTCTTTTAAACATTTCAGAATGAATGAGTAAGCTGGTGCCCCTGCCACCGGCAAAGGTGGCCAATTATTGGGTGTTATAAATTCAACGATATGCAAAATATATATAATTCATATTTCCCGATCAATGGTAGTCATCGTTCCTGTTGGCGCTGCTTCACCTTTACAATCTTGGGTTGCTTTTCATAGAAAAGTTTAAGATAAAGTTTTGGGTTTTTTTAAAGGAAAGATTTAAAGCCCCACCAGGTCACAGAGGGCTTGGGGAGAGGAGGGGGGCGGGGAGATCGGTAACCTCACAGCTGTCCGGCTCTCCCGCCAGGTCTTCGGCAGGTCCCGCGTCCGGGGGCGGGGCAAGGCGTGGGCAGGGCCGTCGCGCCTTTGCGCGCGGGGCGGGGCAGCTGGCGCGGCGGCGGCGGCGGCGGCGGCGGCGCGCCGGTAGAGGTACGGCGCGCGGCCCCCTAGCGCGCCAACGCGATCCCCGCCGGAGCCGCGGCGTCCCACCGTGCGGCCCTCATCCTTTCTCTTGACCCGACATCCCGCCGGCTCCAGGATGGGCGCGCGCCCTTCGGGAGGACCCCGGGCCCGGACTGGATTCCTGCTGCTGCTGCTGCTGCTGCTCGGGCTGGTGGCCCCGGGCGCGCAGGGGGCGCGGAGCCGCGGCGGCACCGAGAAGAACAGCTACCGCCGCACCGTCAACACCTTCTCGCAGAGCGTCAGCAGCCTGTTCGGCGAGGACAACGTGCGCGCCGCTCAAAAGGTGGGCGCTGGGCCCGCGCCCGCGGTCACCTTGCCTCGGCCGCCGCGCACCTGGCGCCCAGGGCCCTCCTGGGCCGTGCGCGGCCTCTGGGACTGCAGGCCGGCCGGGGCTCAGAAAGAGGGAAGCCCGGGTCTGGGGCGGGGGGTCCGGGCCTGCCGCCTGTGGCCCGAGCCGACCTGGGCCAGCGTCGTGTCTGGGGGCGAGTTCCGGCGCAGGTCTAGTGCGCAGGGCCTCGGCGCGCCCTGTGTTCCATGCGGTACTTCTCCTTGAACCTTGCTCCCGGGGGCACTCGGTCCGGGCCTCGCCTCGGCAGCTCTGACGCCGCCGCGCCTCTCATTCATTCATTCAGCACGTTTGAATGAGCGCCTACTGTGAGCCAGGCACCGTGGCGGCTGCCCAGGGGGCGCCCTGCTCGCCGGCGCCCTCTCCCCACGCTGCTGCGCTCTCCCCAGCAACCCCGAATTTCCTGTAGCCTTACCGCCGACCCGCTTCCCCTGAGCACCTTAGGCCCTCCTCCTTCTGCTTTGAAGATATTTAGGCTTTTTATTATTTTACTGTTATTTTTTGTTGGTTTTTTTTTAAGAATGAGAGTAATGCAATCTGCTCCGTTGCTTTGGCAACCTGTCACAGTAACCGTTTAAACACCTACTGTGTGCCGGGCCTCTCACTTGGAGCGTTTTATTTACTTTGGAGCTGTTGAGGAGCTCCTGGCCCCTGGGGATGGTGTTGGGCGCTCCGGAGAAGCCCTTTCTCTCCCCGCTCTGCCCTCGGCAGCTGGGTGAACCACTGGGGGTAGAAGTCCACCGAGCAAGGGGAAGTGAACAAGGGGGACGGTTGCATGTGGTCAGGCAGTTCCTGGAGTACAGCCCATACTGTTCCTTCTCTTAAGCTCTTTGCTCTGCACCAGCCCTGGGCTTTTGGAGTGGAGAAAAGTTCCAGTTCTGATTGGATGGCTTCAGGCAACTGGCTTCACTCTTTTGAGGCTCGGTCTCTTTATTCCTTCAATGGGGATAGTAATCATCTCCTCTTGTAATTATGAATCGTTGGTCCCTTCTTGGCCCAGAGTCAGGGCTGAATCAGTTTCAGATACTGTCGTTAGTTATATCCTGGCCAAGGCTCAAATCTCGGTTGCTTAGCCCTGCTGGCAGCGCTTTCAGGTTTTAAAAAAATGTTTTCTGCTGCCTGAGATGAAGGGGAAAGAAAACATTAAATCTCAAATCAGACTGGCTGAATATTCTAATTGGATGAGATGAAATATAGGTTAATTTGTTAGGAAAGCTGTTAACTTCTGACCATCCTCTCCTATGGGTGTTCTGAGAAGCTATAAAGGTTGTGGGTAATGGGGCAGGTGGTGGGGTGGGAGGAATATCTCTTTGTAGCTGGCTACGAAGGGAGAGCACAGAACACTTGAGTGCAGAGAAGTGGCCATTCAGACAGCCTGAGTATGCAGGGTGAATCTGCACCTCTCTCCTACTGTGTGCCTTATTCATCTGAAGGCAGAAATCATTTGTTTTACAGCAAAAAGACCTTCCCTTGTGACTCAGCTGGTAAAGAATCCACCTGCAATACGGGAGACCTGGGTTCAATCCCTGGGTTGGGGAGATCCCTTGGAGAAGGGAAAGGCTACCTATTCCAATATTCTGGCCTAGAGATCCCATGGCCTGTAAAGTCAATGGGGTCACAAAGAGTCAGACATGGCTGAGCTACTTTGACTCACAGCAAAAAGAAGTCTGGCCTTTTTGGGGGAGGGTTCAGCACAAGCCACCATGTCTAGGCTGATTATTCTATCTAGGAATATGAGATTCACAGACTCATATGAAATACAAAGTAGATATTTAGGGGTTCAGATGTGGGTTGGTATCAATAATACAGCTGTGTCCTGGCAAAGTATCTGAGAATCTTGAAATCAGCATTCCTTTTGAAGTAAACCAAGGTTTGTGCTTTCAATAGAGATGACTGTAATACTAACTAATATTTGTTAATAACTTAGACAGATATTTGAAGGGCTCCTCAGATAGCACTAGTGGTAAAGAACCTCCTGCCATGAGAGACGTGGGTTCGATTCCTGGGTCAGGATGATCTCCTGGAGAAGGGAATGGCAATCCACTCTAGAATTCTTGTCTGGAGAATTCCATGGACAGAGGAGCCTGGTGGGCTACAGTCCATGGGGTGGCATAGAGTCAGAGACGACTGACGCAACCTAGCACGCACATTTGTTTAAAATACACCTCCTTTTTTCTGGCCAAGCAGCATGAGGGATCTTAGTTCTCCAACCAGAGATCAAAGCCATGCCCCCTGCAGTGGAAGTGAAGAGTTTTAACCACCGAACCACCGGGGAAATCCATGCCTTTTTTTTTTTAAGATCTAATTGGCTTTATTATTATTTTTTTTTTTATCTAATTGGCTTTAATCAGCAATTTGTGAATTGGGCTACATCCCTTCTAGCAAATAAATGCTCCCTGTTCTGAGTCCTTTTATAAATAGAATAACTCACTTCATCCTTAGAACAGGCCTATAAGGTTGGTACTGTTAATACTTCCATTTTACAGACAGGGAAACTGAGGCACAGAATGGTAAAGTAATTGGCTTCAGGTCAGCCTGGGTGGCAGAGCCAGGATTTGAACCCCGGCATAGTGGGGCTTCCCAGGTGGTGCAGTGGTAAAGAATCCACCTGTCAATGGAGGAGATGCAGGTTCGATCCCTGGGTCAGGAAGATCCCCTGGAGTAGGAAATGACAGCCCACTCCAGTATTCTTGCCTGGAGAATCCCATGGACAGAGGAACCTGGAAGGCTCCAAAGAGTCGGACACGACGGAGTATGCACACACATGTACACAGTGGGTCTGGAGTCCGTGCTGGTACCTTCACTGGTCTTTTGGTGTACAACCCTCCCTGTGCCCCTCCATCAGTGGAGCATCCAAAATGAGGCTCCCTGACATTTCCTGTGGAGTATAGCCTAGACCAGCGAGACTTGGGGAAATTGCTCTGTTAATTAAAGGAAAACAATCTACTAGCAGCTATACTTTTCAACAAGCCAGACCTTCTTAGTGGGTTGTAAAGTTTGAGGGTATTTAATGAAACACTCTATGTTCTATCTAGGAATTGTCTAAAATTAACCCCAGCCCTTCTGGTTCAGAACCTAGGCCTTGCTCTCTCACAGACTTGGGTTCGAATCCCAGCTCTGCTTCTTACTAGCTCTGTGACCTTGGGCCAGTTGCTTGACCTCTGTGTGTCTCCTTTGCGCAAAGGAGAAAATTGGCAGGTTGAATGTGACTAGTCATTGTGTACAATACCAGGCACTGAATAAGTGTTTATAAAATGATAGAAGATATAAGAAGGATTCATCTAGTGTGTTTAGTATAAAGATGTACCCGTATTTAACCAACTCCTCCTGATGGTCCATGTTTTGTTAGTTTCCAACTGGACTGGATTGGCCACTCCAATCCTGGTGGCAGTAAAGGTTTTTCTATCTAAATTTTTTGGAGTGTGCATATACAAGTTCATCTGTAAATTGTTAGAAATTCAATTGCTGAGCCAAAGGGTCTGTGCATTTTAAAATTTTTAATTGAAATATAATTAGTGCACTTTTCTGAGTTAAGTATACAGTGAAATGAATTGTCATATACCAAACATGCCCATGTGACCCACATGTTGCACTGGAAGTATAGAGGTCAAATCCCCTAGCCCCAAGATAACCTCTCTCCTAACTCTGACAACATAAACTAGCTTTGTCTGCCCTGTCCTTTATACAGAGTTCCAGTTCATATGCATTTTGAGTACTGAGAGACATTACTGAAATGTTTCCCAGTTACACCAGTTTCCATTCCTATCATACATGTGAGGGCTGCTTTCCGATACCTCTCCAAAGAGGTGTCAGTAAGCTACTTGGTTTTATTATTTTATTGTGAGATAGGCGATCTTTTCACTTTTTCGGAATCCAGTGGCATCTTTACTGGGAACTGATTTTTGTTTTCCTTTGCCATTACTGAAACTGTTAGTCTTTTTCTTTTCAAGAGGCTGGCATTTTTTTTGCTTTGTAAGAAAATATTTTGAGCCGAATAACTTTGACACTTTCCAGTCTTTTTTTTTCCCCCACCAACATTTTAACAGCTTTATTGAGGTGTCATCGACATAGACTGCACACATTTAAAGTGGGACAAAAGTGTACGCGTTGGTAAATTTTGACATATGGATACACCCCTGAAAACATGGCCATCATCAAAATAATGTTGTCTGACTTTTTCTTTAAAAAGCTGGAAGAATCGAATAAGTTAACAGTGAGACACTCCACCTAGGATCACCATATTCTTCCCAGACTGTTTCTTTTTCTCTACAAACACACACACATACACTTTTTTTTTTTTTTGAAAGTAAATTGTGGACATGATATTTTCTCCTACAGAACCATAATACCATGGCCCCTTTGCCCCAAAACTTAAATTTAGTTCAATAACATTTTGTAATATACAGCCCATATTCACATTTCCTTTATAACTTAAAAAAAAAAATACAGCACCCAAGCAACAGCTCATTGCATTTGGTTTTAATGCCTCTTTAGTTCCTTTTAATCTATCAAAGTCCCTTTTACCCTTTTGGGAATGGGAGTAGGGGGTGCTTTTATGACCTTGATGTTTATGTCTTCTTTTTCTTAACAGCTTTATTGAGCTATAATTCAGATACTATACAATTCATTCACTGAAAGTTCAGTGGCTTTTATTATACTCAGTGGGGTTGTACATCACCACATTTTGTACATTTAACCACATTTCTGTACATCACCAAAATCAGTTTCAAACATTTTCATCACTCCTCCCCGCTTTAAAGAAACCCTAAATCTCTTAGCGGTCACCCCATCTCCCCCAACCCCTGGCAGCCCATAATCTTCTTTGTTCTTATGGATTTGCGTATGTATTCTAGACATTTCCTATAAATGGAGTCAGACAGTAGGTGGTCTTTTGCATCTTGCTTCTTTTACCCAGCATCATGTTTTCAAGGTTCATC